CACGGTGCCCAGCTAGAAATGTTTTTTGAGCTACATTATTGCACACTGAGTGCTGTCTTTTGACTAGACTCTGGGTTAGAATATAAAGCTAAAGAAAAATTAAACAACAACTTAAGAATAGATTTAACTAAGAAGGTGAGATCTGTACACTGAAAATGGTAAGACAGTGATGAAAGAAATTTAAGATGACACAAGTAAATGAAAAGATATCCCATGTTCGTGGATTGGAAGAATACTGTTAAAATGTCCATCTAAAAATTCACTGCAATACTATCAACATTAAAATGACATTTTCCACAGAAATAGAAAAGTAATCCTAAAATGCACATGGAACCCTAAATTCCCCCCAAATAGCCAAAGCAATCTGAACAAAAAGAACAAAGCTAGAGGCAGCACATTACCTGATGTAAAATCTACTTCAAATCTATTATTAAAAAAAACAGCATGGTACTGACATAAAACAGATACATAGATAATGGAACAGAATAGAAGATCCAGAAAGAAGATCCAGAAATAAGTCCACACATTTATAGTTCACTGATTTTCAACAAAGATGCTTAGAACACACAATCTCAGCCACACAAGAGTCTCTTCAATAAATGGTGTTGGAAAAACTGTATATATATATATATATATATTTTTTTTAATAGCTTTATTTTATTTATTTATTTTTATGTGGTGCTGAGGATCGAACCCAGGGCCTCACATGTGCGAGGCGAGTGCTCTACCGCTGCGCCACAACCCAGCTCCCAGAAAACCCGTATATTGATATACAGAAGAATAAAATTAGATCCTGGTCTTATTTTACATATAAAAATCAACTCAAATGGTTTAAAGACTTAAACTTAAGACCTGAAACTATAAAACCACTAAATGAAAATACAGAGGAGGGGCTGGGGTTGTGGTTCCGTGGCAGGGCCCTGGCCTTGCACATGTGAGGCACCGGGTTCAATTCTCAGCACCGCATGAAAATAAAATAAACAAAATAAAGATATTGTGTCCATGTATGACTAAAAAAAAATTTAAAAAGAAAAAAAAATATAGGGGAAAAATCTCCATGAATTGGTCTGGGCAATAAAGATTTTGAATAGGAACTTAAAAGTATAGGTAACTAAAGCAAAAATAGACAACAGGATCTTCCAAACCTAAAAAGGTCTGCACAGTCAAAGAAACAATTACCAAAGTGAAGACAAATACTTGCAAACCACACATCTGATATGGGGCTAATGTTACATAAGGAACAATTCATTGGTAAGAAGACAACCTCATTATAAAATAGGCAAAGGAATCAGATGCTTTTCAAAAGAAGATATGCAAATGACCAACAGGTACATAAAAAATGCTCAACATCATTAATCATCAGGGAAATGAAAATTAAAACCACAATGAGATCTCACCTCAGATCTGTCAGGCTGACTATCATCAAAAAGACAAACTGTAAGTGCTGGAAAGGATGTGGAGAAAAGGAAACCCTTGGGCACTGCTGGTGGGAAGGTAAATGAGTAGAGCCATTCTGGAAAACAGTGTGGAGGTTCCTCCCAAATTAAAAATAGGGGTACCATGTGATGTGGCAAACCCACTACCCAATATATATCCAAAGGAGACTAAACTGATACGTCAAAGAGACATCTTCAGTCTCGTGTTCATTGCAACATTATTCATGACAGCCATGCTATGAACTCAACCTAAGTTTTCATTAAAGGATGAGAAGATAAAGAAAATGTGATATATATATATTGAAATACCACTTAACCTTTAAATAGAAGGAACCCTTATAATTTGTGACAACATGGATAAACCAAGGGGACGTTATGTGTTAAGTGAAATAAACCAGACACAGAAAGACAATTATTGCATGATCTCACTTATATATGAAATCTAAAAAAAAAAAAAAAAAAAAAAGAAAAACCTCAAAAGAGTAGAATGGGGCTGTGGCTGTAGCTCAGTGGTAACATGCTTGCCTGGCACATGTGAGGCACTGGGTTCAATCCTCAGCACCACATAAAAATAAATAAATAAAATAAGGGTATTGTGTCCATCTACAACTAAAAAAATTAAACTAAAAAAAAAAAAAAGAGTAGAATAGTGGTTACCAGAGCCTGGGAATGGGAAGATTAGGGAGATGTTGATTAAAGGTCACAAAATTTCAGTTTGACAGTAGGGATAGGCTCATGAGAGCTATTGTACATTGTGGTGATTATAGTTATTAACAATATGTTGTATATTTAAAAATTGCCAAGAGTAGATTTCCAGTATTCTTACTACAAAACTTCATAAGAGTGTGAGGCAATGCATATATTAGCCTGATTTAGCCATTCCATGACATATATATATATATGTGCACATACATATCCATATATATATATACATACACATCATCTTATACCATAAATATAAGCAAATTTTACTGGTCAATTAAAATAATAATAATAAGAAGAATAAGAATAGACCAGTAAGACTTGCTTTTCTGTTCCTACATACCTGAGATGCACTGCATTTGTTACAGACTAAAATCCATATGGTGAAATCCCAACCTCCAGCACATATCTGAATGAAACCATGTCTGAGAATAAGATCTTTAAAGAGATGATTAAGTTAAAATGAAACCATTAAGGTGGGGTCCTAATCCAATGATCAGCATCCTTTTAAGAGGAGGAAGAGACACCAAGGGTGTGTGTAAACAGAGGGACAACATAAAGACAAAGCCCAAGAGGATGACCCTGAACAGATGCCTCAGAGAAACCAACTCTTCCACACCTTGGACCTAGACTCCACCTTGATTTTGGATTTCCAGCACTTGACCTTGAATTTGTAACTCAAAAGTTCTAGTTTTAGAACTGTGAGAAGATAAATTTCTGTTAAGTCCCTCAGACTATGCCTTTTTGTTATAGAAGCCCTTGCAAACCCCTTCATTAATAAACTCAATCATCATGCTGTACGCCAGGCACTAAGTTCTTTATAAACATTTAAGCATTCAAACACCTTTCTATCAGTGCCAGTGAACTATGATGGCTCCATTTCTGAAGAACGAGGAAGGGAGAAAAGAGTATCTCCTCCTCAAAGAACAACTCACAACTGTAGAGTTGGGGAAAGTACCCTTCTTAAGAGACAAGTATCAAGACGTGAAGATGGTGTTTATCACTAGTAATAACAATAGTAAAATCTTAAAAATCATTAAAAGCCAGCATTAACTGAACACTTATTGTACATAGGTGAGTGTCAGGCATATTATAAGAATTCTTCTCATTTTCCCCCACAGCAACCTTAAGAGGTAGGAATAGTTCATTCCCTTTATTTACAGAGTTTGGGAAGAGCAAGCTAGTTATTCAGTCAGTACAGAGAATCAGGATTAAGACCCAGATCTGTCTGATTTCAGTATCCTGCACATTGCCTAAGGAAGTGGCTGGGGACAGGTGGTGGGTTTTGAATGGGAGCATGAATTTGTCCTTGATGCAGGAGGTCATTGGAAGTAGCAATCTTTGAAAAGAAAAGATAGTAGGGAGAATTTAACAGTCTTAATTTAGCTTCTCTTATGGCCAGGTATCAAGCTTTTAATTTAGAACAGTTCTGAGAAACAAAAATTCTTACATTTTTTGTTATGGACATCAAAATTGAACTTCAGGGAAGCTAAAAGATCTGACCAAGGAAGTGGTGGAACTGGAGAGACTGACATGGGAGGCTCCTAATCCTGCATCTGCCCAACTCCTCTGCACCCTCCTCTGCACCCGCATTTCTGACTGCCAAGGAATGCATAAGGCTTCCATGCTCTGAACAGGCAAGTTATATGTCACACCACAGTCTTTACCAAGATGCAGCCTCAAACATGACCAAGCAACCCTGCCCAAGAATGTTTCAAGGGGCCCCAGTTTTCTATGATGTTCCATGGAAAAAGTCTGATGGTCAATAAAGTTTGCAAGTGCTGCCCATTATCGTTGTCTTGCCTCAGAAATGGAGTGTACAGCAGCAGATTCTAAAGGTTTTGAGAAGTTCTACAGTTAAAAAAAAAAATCTGTTTCCTTCATTTGGCTGAAGATTTCCTCAATTTATTTGGACCACATTGGTCAGTTAATATACTTTGCAGCACCCTTTTAGAGATACTGCAATGTAGGACTAAACAGGGGGTAAAGAAAGGCAGGCTGGGGCTACTTTCTGAAACTAACCAAAATGCAGACTTTTTTTTTGGTAATTTAAGAAGGATCAAACCCTTTGTTGTTTACGTTTAGTTTGCTTTCTACTGAGAGAACAGTTGAAAAACAAAACAAAATAAAAAATAAATAAAAATGATAGGCAATAAATCAGAGGAGGGAAGGGCTATTTACATTCCCAAACCTCTTAGCTCATCCTGCACCTTCTATCTTCCATGCCAACCCCACCCCAACCCCATTCCATTCTCCACCCTCTTCCCTCAGGGCTGTTCTCCAACTAGGCACAAGTAATGGCCACGACAGCTTGCAATGCCTCCTGCCCCTAACCCTTACAGCACAGACATGGTGACAGAGAGGCATCAAAGGTCTACCCAGGGCAACCTGAGCTGACAGATTTCAGGGAAACCCAAGAAGCTGCCCGAGTCAACCATCTCTCTGCCACTCCCATGGGGTGGGGGAGGAAGACTGCCAACATTTCCTTTCAAATTTATGGGTGCTGTACTTCTTCTATTTCTCTTTCTGCTTGTTTTCTAAAATGAAGATGCAGCATTTGCAAGTTAAAGAACAGAAGGAGAAGGGACAGGAGGAGGAGGAAGAGGGAAAGATGAAGGAGGGAGAGAACAAAAGGAGGGAAAGAGTGGAGGAGGAGGAGGAGGAGGAGGAGGAGGAAGAGGAGGAGGAGGAGAAGGACTCCTCCTCCAGAGAATGCTCTGCAGGAGCTAGACTAAGAAAACCTACCGGCAGCACCCAAGCCCGACTGGTGTAAATTCTGAGCTGCAGGGGGGGACCCTAGCCACCCCTTAACCAAAGCCACCCAGATGCTTGGGCACCAGGCGCAATGCACCCTCTCCTTACCCACTCGAAAGATCAAATCGTCCTCGATGGGGTTCTCTTTTCGCTTCCCGGTGCTGTACATGCTCGCAGGTCTTTTCACAGCTTTCTGCTTGACGTGGCCGCTCCCTGGGGACTTGACGCGCCGCTTCACGCCTTCAGTGGTGGGAGACACGTCGGCGGACCGGATCACCTTCAGCTTAAACGGGCTGCCTCGTATGTGCTGGTCGTAGAGTCTCAGAGACAGGGTGAAGTCTCCTTCCTTCTGGACCGTGTACAAAAATTCGTAGGTGCCGTTTTTGTTGTCCAGGATCTCCCCGTCCGCCACGCTGCCGTCGGGGGTGCTCAGTTCAGCCGTGATGTAGGCATTGCCAGTTTTGCACAGCTCGCCGTCTTTGTCCTTGGTCGTTATGGTAACGGACATGGGCTGCCCGATGATGGTCTGCCGCAGCCCCTCGCCCGTGGCCACCGTCTCGGATGCGACCGCGTTGGTGGTCAGAATGGTCCCGAGGTTGTGGATGGACTTCTTGAGCCCCTCGGTTTCCACGATGAAATCCAGCTGATCGTTTTCACGCGGGTGCAGGGGGAAATCTTGGTCGGCCAGTTCGTTCAGCTTCTCGCTCATCTGCTTCTTCACCAGCAGCACCTCCGTTTCCGTGCCGTGGTTGAGGGCCTGCGCTGTGAAGTTGCTGCAGCTCTTGATGCTCTCCTGCCCCTGGAGCAGAGTATCCAGCTGCGACTGCAGCACCTGCCGGGAAACAGGGCTGGTGAGCTCTGTCAGTGGGACTCCTGCCAGGCACGCTGGGGCAGTGCCCTCCTCCTGCAAGAACCTCGCTCTACACCTGCCCACACAGAGCGAGCGGCCTTTTAACCCAGTGAACCCAGTTCTAATGCAAAATCCTAAATTGCATTCCCAATACCTTCTGGAGATTTCCCTTTGGCCTCCCCCTGCCTCATCACCCACCTATGTATTGCTTGGATCACGCCTTTAGATAACAGAAACCAAGAGCGTGGCAAACAAATTGCCACGTTGGACACCTAAAATATGTGTTATTCAGTATCTTTCCTGAATGTTCAAAACTCCCCCATCGCCTTGCAAAGGGACAGAAACCAAACAGATGAAAAGCCTCCACAACTGAACATCAGAAGCGTTTCCTCCCTGCTTTTGTGAACAGACATGCAGAGTTAAACAAAGAATGCAGTCAGGGTTTACTTTGAAGTTGACTAACAGGTTGGTGTGGATGAGATGGCAATTAAGGGACGATTCCACATTATAATTAAGGAAGGAAAACAATCCAGTTTAACCCTAAACCCTGAAAGAATTACATGATACTCAACCTCACCTTCTGTCAAATTATAAATTGTTACTTAAGGTCACAGAATTAAACAGTTCTGCTGCAAACAGGAAAGAAAAAAAAAAAAAAAGAAAAGAAAGAAAAGCTAGATATTCTGTTGAATGAAAATTCAGTTACTATACAGTGGGGGACTTTGATGGACCCATTTGGGTCCCCTTTGTTGCTGTCAATGACATAGCCAGTGCTGTGAAGTGTCCAATACCACGTCTCTTTCAGAATATCTATGGGAACATGGAGTCTTACTTTGTGTTTGAGGCCATAGTTGACCTCCAGTTCCATAAGCAGCACGCTCTTTCGCACATTCAGCGTCTTCTGGAGCTCATCGAAGGTGGAATGGATGTCATCCACGATGCTGGCCTTTTGGTTGGTTAACTGATGAATGATTTCTGAGATGAACTGAAGAGCAGAATCTATTTCTGGGAGCCTGGGGATGGTTGTTAAAGATTATTATTTAAGATCACTCTGGAAGTGGTCCAAAGTCTCTCCAAACACTCTGTTCTGTCAAAACAACAAAATATCTTTCTATCCTTTCATCATCTTTAAAAAATAATAATGGAATAATGGAATGAATGAAAGTTTGAGGTTCCACACCTATTTCAATCTACCTTCTAATTTTAATAATTGATGGTACTAAGACTTGAAGGTCAAAGAAAAAAAAAGAAAAGACCCGAAGGCCTTTGAAAAGCAATTATGACCAGATACTTCTTTGTTCAGGGGATTGTTCTGGGCATTGCAGGATGCTTAATAGCATCCTGTCTTCTCCCAGATGGCAACAGCATCCCTCCACACAGTAGCGATAGCAAAAATGTCTTTATACATTGCCAAATGTACCCTGGGGAAACATAATCACCCATGGGTGAGAGTCACTGTTCTAAATATATAGCTGTACCATTTTCCCCAACCACATGAAAACTTATCTAAATTCAGTTTCCTGGGAAGGTCTCATAAGTTTCCAAGTTCTTGTCATTAGTATAGAATAACTACAGTGTTCTCACTCCAACTATTGATCATTGACTATCAGCAAGAGATTTACTATTTTGACTGCTTTTCAACTGGCTGTTAAAAGTTTCTGGCTCCTGTCTTTCTCACAGCTACTCTACTCCTCATGTCTGTGCCAAAGAAAGAAACAGAAAGCAGGAAAACACAAGGGAATTGAGCGTTCATTGCTCAGCACCATTTATTTGGCAGGGCTCACACAGAGAGGAGCCAGTGGACCTAAGCTGTGTGTCCAGAACAACAGCTCAGGAGCTCCTCAGAGGGCCCAGTTTGAGGCATGAATTTCAGAGATCTCCTTTCATTCATCTCATGTTCCTAAGAGACTCTGACAAAAAATGCTGCGACTCCTCGTATCAGGCAGTTGGAGGTTTGCCAAGGGGCAGGGAAGCCTTCACCACTCACTGGTTTATGATGACAGACCCATAATCATAGGAAAATCTAGTTATGACTGAGATCTCGAAGAGTCACATGAACGCATTATCGCACTGAGACCACAGACCATGGAGCCAGGCCTTGGGCACAGAACAGGCCCTGGCTGGGAGCCTGTGGAGGGAAGCCGCACCTTTTGTTGACAGCGTCCAGCTGGACCTGGAGTGAGGCCTTGTGCTGCTCCACCACGTCCTTGAGGGGGACCGTGGGGTGCTCTGCATGCTCGCCCTCAGTGCACTCCCGACACATGGCGGTCTCACAGGACTGGCAGTAAAATTCCATCACCTGTGGGTTACACAAGAAAAGTTCCAAGTTCATGGCCACTGGCTGAGTGCTCACTCTGCAGGAATCAGTTCCTTGCATTCTCTCACTTAATTCTCCCACCCACCCAACATTGTTGGCAGTATTATGTCCAGCTTCATGGCAGAAAAGGAAAAATAAACTTGTTGTTTTTGAGCATTGAGGATTGAACCAAGAACAGTTTAACACTGAGCTACATCCCCAGTCCTTTTTTAAAACTTTGTTTTGAGACAGGGTCTTGTTAAGTTACTTTGGGCCTTGCTAAACTGCTGAGGCTAGCCTCAAACTTGTGATCCTCCTGCCTCAGCTCCTGAGTCGCTGAGATTACAAGGGTGTGCCACTGTGCCTGGCTGGAGGAATAAACTTTCATGTGACATGTCACAAACAAGGTGGGTCCAACTCCAAAGCTACTGCTGTGGCCATAAAATCAGATTTTTGGTAGCTATTTCCTAAGGCAGAACTGTGTAGGATTATTGTTTTAAAGCCTTTTGGTCTTGGACTTCTTTATGCTCTTTATAAATTATTGAGAACTCCATAAGAACCTTTGTGTATATGGATTATGTCTACAGATATTTGCAATGTTAAAAATTAAAACTGAAGCCAGGCATGGTGGCACATGATTGTAATCCCAGTGACCCCAGGAAGACTGCAAGATAAAAGCACAGCCTCAGTAATTTATTGAGACCCCTTAATTGCATGCCTGTAATCTCAGCAGCTTGGGAGGCTGAGGTAGGAGGATTGAAAGTTCAAAGCCAGCCTCAGCACAATCGAGGCCCAAAGCAACTCGGTGAGACCCTGTCTCTGTATAAAATTTTAAAAAGGGCTGGGGATGTGGCTCAATGGTTAAGTGCCCCTGAGTTCAATTCCTATTTCAAAAAATAAATAAATAAATAAAGCTGAGAAAAATTTTAAAGCATTAATTTATTAGAAGGTCATTTAAACATTGATGTGAATGATATAGTTTGTGAAAAACAACTACATTTGCAAACAAACAAACCCTGAGAAGAGCATGGTTGCCCAGTTTTTGAAATCTCCGCAGCACCTTGCTTAACAGAAGACTGTTGGCTTCTCATGATTGCTTTTGCATTCATTTTCTTGGGACAGCACATAGCCTACAGCCTTTCCAAAGTACCACAGTACATTCTTGAGAGAATGAGAGCAAAAAAAGTTATCTTCATATTGCTGTATTGTGAATACAGCATTGACCTTGTGGACCTCTGGAAAGGATCTTGGAACCTACAAAGGTTCCTGAAGTGCACTTTGAAAATTGCTACTGTTTGGGTCAGAGATAATCTGAACTGAGCAGTCTGCATTTGGCTCTACCATTTACTTTGCTGAATGACCTTAAGCAAATTACTTAACCTGACTGTGTCTCAACTTCTACCTCTGTCAGTGTAGACAATAATAGTAACCTACTTTAACCTACTCTACTGGGCTGCTATTAGGATTATGTAGGTTAGTTTGCACAAAGAACTCAAGTGATGCCTGGCCCTGGTTCAAAATATGTTCTTAATAAGTAAGAGCGGCTGTGATGATGATAATGATGATGTTATCTGGTTCCCTGAAAATAAAACCACTGTATCCTGATGATCCTGGAAGTCAGTTTCCTTGTGGAGGTAGTCCCTAGGCTCTCAGTGAGAAGTAACATCCTCTAATTTATTAAGTTTTTTTTTTTTTTTTTTTTTTCTTTCCTGTACCAAGGATTGAATCCAGGGGTGCTTAACCACTGAGCCACAACCGCAAGCCATTTTTATGTTTTATTTAGAGACAGTCTCACATAGGGCCTCACTAAATTGCTGCAGCTGACTTTGAACTTGTGATCCTCCCGCCTCAGCCTCTCAAGCTGCTGGGATTATAGGAGTGTGCCATGGTACCCAGCTATTAACTCTTTCTAAGGTTTTAAGTTTCTGAGTACAGGAACTCACCTACCCAGAGCTTAGATCAAGCTTTGCCTGTAGTAGGAACTCAGCACTGCTGAGTGAGTAAATGAGAGGGTAATCCTAGCTATGATTTGTGTGGTAGGTATTAGGGCAAACAAAAGACACCCCCTGACTTATTAAGACTCACTATTTTACATAGTACTTTCTGGAGTGGATTCTCCCAGGAATAAAACAGTGCTGAAACCCCAAGGAACCAGATTCAGATCAAAGACCTTCAAACCATCTTCCAGATTTTAGATTTCATGTTTCATCACAGTTTGAAGTGGGCACATAGTAAGTTAGGGGAACACACTTTTGTATGTGTATTATATATTTTTTGTGGATATTAATTCCATATACTTTACTCCTTTGCAGACCATTTAGGAATGCACTTGGATTATCAATTGCAAGTTTCCATTCTTGACCCTGCTTCTGCTCAAAAAACATTTCTCTACACATTCCATTGATGAGCATTGGGGAATTCAAATGAAAATCCAAATCTCCTACAGGAAGATCATGATGCTAGGCACTCAAACCTTATTTTGGAGTAGGTCTGATTCAACCTAGCAGAAGGTCCAGCACTTAGAAATGGTTTAAAAATTATTTGCCAAAGGACTGGATGAGCTAAGGAACCCTCCCAAGGGATCATTCCTTCTCTGGGGACAGGCCTGCTCTCTGAGGGAAGACGCTTCAGTCATTTTAAGGCATTTTACATTCTATTCTTGGACAGTCCTTCACATGACCAGTAGATGGAGTGATCTAAAACTATATGAAGTCATATAAACTTCCTATCACAAAGTTTTTAGAAATTATTTTGGGGATACAAACTTGGTAAGAATTTATAAACCCTGTATCATATGTATTGTATTCATTATTTGAAAATATTTTTAATCTGAGGGGTTTCTTTTATTTCCCCCCCCCCCCAAAGGGCTAGTGGAAGAAGGCATGAAAGAACACTCCTCACTCTATTCTGAGATTTTCCTTTGCATATCGTCATCCTCAGGGATCTGTGAAGTATACATAGTTCTCCTGAAGGCTGAGGAGCCTTGTCGCTCTATGGCTTCAGCAGAAGGTGATTCTTACATCGGAACCTATTCTTTCTAGACTATTAACTGAATTCCTATTTACTAATATTTCACCTTCACAGTCAGTGCTCAGGAAATCCTTCTAAAGCAGACCCAGTGCCGGGCATCCGTAGCACAGGAGAGTCCAAGAGTAGAATGTGAAAAGACTTCTTCCCTCATGTGAGTCAGGGTATTGGGGCTAATAAAAGTGTCTAGGGGAACAGGACACATTAACAGGGCTATTCAATCCATTGGCACACTTCTCATGTCACTCAAGGTTGAGACTGGGAGAAAGGGACATGCCTACATGTCTGGAAAAGGTCTGAGCCAAAGGTAAATTGGCAATCGGTGCCCATATTGTGTTGAGAATTCACAAAGGCATATACCATATTAGTGGTGTTTTCCTGTTCTCAGTTAAGTTCTCCAGCAGTCTGGGAGTGAGATGACAAAGGATGAGAGAGAGAGAGAGAGAAAGAGAGAGAGAAATAGATACAAAGTAACATAGAGTCACTAAAAATATAAAAAGTCCTCAAGGCAAGAGCCCATTATTTACAAGAAAGACTAAGCATCTGTTGCCATCACTAATCCTCTTTCAAATTAATAACTGAAAACAGTTGATGGCCAAGGAATGACATCACTGAAAACGGCAGAGTAAAGAAATCTGTCGTATCACTAGCTGATTAGACTAAACAGGGGAACGTGTTAGTGGCCACACATGACAAAAATCAAAGACTTTACAAAATTGGTTCTGAAAAGTCAACAAACCAACAAGAAGACAAACAAACAAAATAAAACAAAACAAAAAACACAATAAGGAACAACAAAATATCATAGGGAGGAGGGAGAGTCTGCATTCTGGAGTTGAAACATTATAATATTTTAAACGTCCAGTTTCCATTAAAAAAATAAAGCTTAAAAAAAAGGAAAACAAACAAACAAAATGAAATGAAAAAAAGAGAAAAGGAAAGAAAAGAAAGTATGGCTCACATCAAAATACAAGAAATTAATAGAAACTGTCCCTCAGAGAGTCCAGATTGAATTTCCTAGATTATTTATTTATTTCGGTCCAGGGGTTGAACCCAGGGATGCTCAACCACTAAGCCAAATCTCCAGCCCTTTTTATTTTTTATTTAGAGAGGGTCTTGCTAAGTTGCTGAGGCTGGTTTTGAACTCATGATCCTCCTGCCTCAGCCTCCCAAGCCACTGGGATTACAGGCCTGGGCCATCGTGCCTGGCTGAATTTACTAGATTTTAAATAAACTTCCTTTTATATATCCTCATGGAATTAAAAAAAAAGAAGAAGAAGAAAAGAAAGAAAAGGAAAGAAAAAGAGAACTAATGGAAACTATGAGACCATGTCTCATCAAATGTAGAATATTAATAAAGGGAGAGAAATTATAAAAAGGAACCAAGTAGAAATATTTTAGAATCAAAAGTAATTATATTAAAATGTGGTGGTGCATGCCTGTAATCCCAGCAGCTTGGGAGGCTGAGGCAAGGAGGATCGTGAGTTCAAAACCAGCCTCAGCAATAGCAAGGTGCTAAGCAACTCAGTGAGACCCTGTCTGTAAATCAAATATAAAGAAAAAAGGGCTGGGGATGCAGCTTAGTGGTTGAGTGCCCCTGAGTTCAATCTCTAGTACTACCCCCAACAACAACAAAGATTGAAAAAGGGCTGGGAATGTGGCTCAGTGACTAAGTGTCCCTTGGTACAATCCCTAGTATCTGGGAAAAAAAAAAGTAAAATTCACTAGAGGAGTTCCACAGATGTGAGTAGGTAGAAGAAAGAATCGGTGAAGGTGAAGACAGGACCATAGAGATTACACAGAAATAAAAAAAAGGAATGAAGAAAAAGTCACAGAACCTGAGAGACCTGTGGGGCACCCTCACATGCATCAACAATGTACCATGAGAGTCCCAGAAGGAGACAGAGAAAGGGGATAAAATAATGGCTGGAAACTTCCCAAATTTTGAAGAAACATGCAAATCTATATATCTGAAAAGTGTAATAAACTCCATGTACACGACTCAAGGAGATCCAAATCAAGATACCGTTTAGGCAAACTGTTAGGAGACATGGAGAATCTGAAATCAGCAAGACAGCAGTGACTCATCACACACAAGAGATACTCACCATGAACGGCAGGTTTCCTTCAGAAAGCTCAGTAGGTCCAAAGACCCCATTGAGAATAGGTTGGACATGAAAGGACGGAAGAAGATATTCCCTGCAAATTGTAACCAAAATGGGGCCAGCGTGGCTGGTCTAATGCCAGTCAAAAGAGATGTAAGGCCAGAGTTGTTGTAACAGACAGAGGACAGTTACACTTGACCAAAAGGACATAATGTAATTTGACAAAACCAGCTAGACTGACCAAGAAAAAAGACAGAAGCCTCAGGTTACTAAAAACAGGAAGGAAAAGGGGGAAATTATCACTGACAGGGAAATAAAAAGAATTATAATAGAGTGGTAAGAATAGTTGTATGCCAGCAAATTGATAACCTAGATGAAATAGACAAACCCCGAGACATACGCAAACTTCCAAAACTGGATCAAAGGAGAAACAGAAAGTCTGAATAGACTTGTAATGAGAAAAGTTCAAAGAAAAGCCCAGAATCAAACAGCTTCACTGATAAATTCTACCAAACATTCATTCCTTCATTGAGATAGGGTCTCCCTAAATTGCACAAGTTGGCCTTGAACTTGAGATCCTCCTGGCTTAGCCTTGGAGCAGCTTGGTTTACAGATGTACACCCTGGCACCCAGCTTTCGGACAAACATTTAAATAAGAACCAGTACCAATCCTCAAACTCTTCAAAAACTGAAAAGGAGGAATATTTACTAAGCCATCCTATTAGGCCACTATTTCCTTGAAACCAAGGAGAAGAAAATTACAGGTCAACATCCTTTAAGAATATAGATGAAAAAAATCCTTAGCAAAATATTAATAAAAGAGGTTGGGCCCAGGGTGCATGCCTGTAATCCCAAGGACTCGGGAGGCTGAGGCAGGAAGACTGCAAGTTCAAGGTCAACCTTGGCAACTTTGGGAGACCCTATATCAAGTTTCTGTGTGTGTGTGTGTGTGTGTGTGTGTTTTGCTAGGAATTGAACCTAGGGCTTTATGCCAGGCAGCACTCTACCACTGAGCCACATCCCCAGCCTCCTATCTTAAAACAAAAATAAAGAGGACTAGAGTTGTGTCCTGGGTTCGGTCCCCAGTACCTCCCACACCAAAAATGCTAACAAAAGAACTGAGCTATATATTAAAAGGACTATACAAACACAAGCAAGTAGAATTTATCCTAGGAAAGCAAGAGCAGTTCACAGATGAAATTCACTACATGTAGTATATCCCATTAATAGAAGGAAGGGGCTACTTATGAGTATGGAGATTCTTTGGGGGATAATGAAATTGTTCTAGAATTAGATAGTGGTAATGTTTGCACAACTCTATGAATATACCCACAAATTGTGCCCTTTTCAGTAGTTGAAATGTTGAATTTGATGTTGGTGAACTTTACCTTAAAACCCAAACTGATCATTGCTTTGAGGAGAGAGCAGCAGACCTGGGGTCACTGGCCCCCATTCAATAGCTTAACTGTGTCTTGGGAGCAAAGGCCCTGAAATAATTTTGAAGTGTCGATAGCTAGTCATTCACACACACTCGTGCTTGGGTTCTGACATCTGCGACTCCAGCCGAGAGTCGATTGTGTAAAGTGTACAGCTCAGCTGAGCTCATCCATCTCGTCCATCCCCCGTGAGATGAGGTCGCTGCTCCCAGGGCTGGGAGATCATGCCAGAGGCCAGGATGAGCTTATTGTTGTTGACAGATAATCACCACTTGTGCACATCAGAAGAGGAGATTGGCAGGACTGTGTATATTTCTAACATAAAAAGGATGGTCAGGTCCTTGCAGCTAACCCTGAGAGCTCTGTGAGGATCCTAATAATTAATCCTGGTGGGGGAACTGAGGACTTGTTAGTGGCAAAACATTCTTCTTCTTCTTTTTTTTTTTTTTAATTGGTTCTTTTTAGTTAAATATGACAGTCTACTGTCCATTTTTATACAATTATACAAGCATGGAATATATCTGATTCTAATTAGGACTCCCGTCTTGTGGATGTACACAATGGTGAGATTCAGTGTGGTGTATTCGTATACGTATGTAGGAAAGTGATGTCAGATTCATTCCACTGTCTTTCCTTTCCCTATCCCCTGCCCTTCCCTTCACTCCCCTTTGTCTAATCCAGTGTTCCTCTTAACGGCCTCAACAGGAAGGCCACCTAAGCAAGCAATAACAAAGGTTCCTGGTCATTTGTGTACCTGGGCTCAGGAGACACGAGCTCAAGTGTCAGCCCGAAGTGCAGAGACCCTCTTAGATCACTAACCACTATTCCTCCTTTTCTTTTGTGTTTGGACAGTGCTGCGATGGCAGTTTAATTAGGAGACAGAGTGTCATAGCACTTAAAGCAGATGACAGGCTTTTTATCCACACGTGCTAATCAGCACCAGGCCGTTATGATGGCAGCATCCTACTTTGCTGTTAATTACCCGATTTTATTAACCTTCAGACGCTTGACTTGTTTTTAAAGATTTACCCATGGCAATTAACTGCAGCAATTTGTCTAGAATATTGCATGCATTTGGCTTGAATATGCAATGAGGACCCCTATTTCAGAGCAGCAACACTGAACTTCTACAGTCTATGATCAAACAATAAAATGATTTAAGACACACACACACTGCTCATTTTCCAAGGCCTCTTGCTGGTTTATAAATTTTATGATTCCAAAGACTCCTAATGACTCAGTGTTGCACAGTGCTCAAAATATACTTTAAATAGCTTCATTCACCTCAAGGAGGGTCAAACTCTTCAGATGGAGTTAATTTTTAATGTGATTTGATGAGATGTGTTTGGTAGAAAGAAGGGTGAAGTTTTAACCTAAAGAATTCTTTAACTTTGCTGGAATTAGCATCTCGGGGAGTGTTTTCATTTAGCAAGTACCCAAAGGTCTTCATTGCTGAGGTGTGCTCAGGAAATACATCTTTAGGAATGCTTTCCTAATTTGTCCTTTAGGCAATGACAACAGATTTCTCTTTCCAAAGTTTCCCTGAGATGGATAGTTCTATTTTATAAGAGTTCATAGTAACTTTAAGGACCCAACTTTGATTTCAGTTGGTAGCACCACCGCTTCTTTGGGCACCCAAGCTACACACCTGGAAGTCACCTAGTGTCACTTGGGACTGGTGCCTCTGCCCACCAGCTCACTGAGTCAACTCTTTGGTCCATTCCTCCAACCTAATTCCCACGGGCCTGGACCAGGGCCCCTCTGAGGGTTATTCTAGTAGGTTCCCAGGTGGGAAACCTCCCCTGTGTCCGGCTCCTCTACTCTGAATCTACCCTATCTGTAGCTTCTTTGAAATGAATTTGATGTAGGGTCTTGCTGAATTGCTTAGAGCCTTGCTTTTGCTGAGGCTGGCTTTGAACTCGAGATCCTCCTGCCTCAGCCACCTGAGCTGGTGGGGTTACAGGTGTGTGCCACTGTGCCTGGTGTTTAACAGCCTTTAATGAATTAGCTCCCCATGATTCAGGACAAATTCAAGCTCCAGTGGCATCCCAGAGCCCTCCATGTCCCAGATTTTACCTGTCTAGCTCGTCATCACTACTTCTGGCTCCTGGGAACACTGGGCTGATGGACAGCATAAAAGTTTCTTTGCTTTCTCTACTCTCTCTGCAACTTTGTCTCTTCTGCACAAAAACATCCTTCTCCTTTCTATACTGTATACCCTGTGACCCTACAATTAAAAAAAAAAAAACTCTAAACATAAACGTATTCATGTATACCAATATACATGTTGTTTGTTTTGAAAAACATCAGTTTGGGGCTGGGGGTGTAGCTCAGGGGTAGAGCATGTACTTAGCACACGTGAGGCCCTGGGTTTGATCCCTAGTATCAAACAACAACAATGACAACAAAATAATTAAAAATAAATCCCCCTCAGTTTTAATGGCTACCCAACAATCTGTTATTTGGACTTAACATAATTTAACAATGTTCTTAATATTGCACATTTAGATTATTCCCAATTTTTACTGAAATATAAAAATTGTAACTAACATTCTTTTTTTTCCTCTTCTTTTGTGGTGCTGGTGATGTAACCCAGGGCCTTGCACATGATAGGCAGGTGCTCTACCACTAAGCTACATTCCCAGGCCCACAACAATCATTCTTAATATTAAGTCTTTGTCTTCATATCAAAGTATTTCCTTAGAAATATTTCTATTAGTGAAACTACTATATTAAAAGATGAATGGTGGTGGAAAACACTCATTACATTTTATTAAATTAACATCAACTTTCTGAAGAGCAATTTACCCTTCCGCCCACGGCATATAAAAATATCTCAATATACATCTCCTCATCAGCACTGGCTATTATCTTTTCAAAAAATTGTAGCTGATTTGCAAAGATTTGATTATTTGTGAAGTTTGTTTAATATCTGTGTGTGTGTGTGTATACAAGCACACGCAAACAGTTATTGGCCACTTAGAAAACCTCCCCCTGTGGATTTTCTGAGTTCCTTCTCATTTTCTTTTGTGATGATCATAGTTTTCTTAACTTGTAAGTTCTCTTGCATATTAAGAATTTGCTACGGGGGAGCTGGGGTTGTGGCTCAGCGGTAGAGTGCTTGCCTAGCATGCGTGAGGCCTTGGGTTCAATCCTCAGTACCACATAAAAATAAATAAACAAAATAAAGATACACTAAACAAAAAAAAAAAAAAAAAAAAAAGAATTTGCTAGGGTATTTTAATTAAGAAATTCATAGCTACTACCACAATTGAATTATTAATAGCTTGTTATCATCACTAGGTTTTGGTCATCAGGGTTATGAGTACATCATAAATGAATTGGGTGGTTTTCTATCTTTTCTTTTTTCCTTTTATTTCTTTTATATTTTCTTCCTTTTTTTTTTCTTTTTTGTGGTGGTGCTGGGGACTAAACCCAGGGCCTTGTGCATCCTAGGCTAGTACTCCACCACTGAGCGACATCACCAGCCTTTTTAAGACACAGTCTCGCTGAGTTGCCTAGCCTGCCCTTGAACTTTCAATCCTCTTGCCTCAGGCTCCCCAGTAATGGGGATTACAGGTGTGTATCACTATGCCCCACAAAATCTCAATCTTAATAGTTTAGTTTAACAGATTTTAGAATATATATTTTCATTTGTGGGAGGCAGATATTCAAGTGAAAGAGTACTCTTTTGTCTGAAATTTGCCTTCTCTTCTCTAGAGCCACTGATACTATTCTAGTTCTATCTGATGGTTTCTCTTTGGAAAACAATAAATTCAGAATTGGCCCAGCCGGGTGGCACATGCTTGTAATCCCAGTGACTCAGGAGGCTGAGGCAGAAAGATTGTTAAATTCAAGGCCAATCTCAGCAATTTAGCAAGACCCTCAACAACTAAGAAAGACCCTGTCTCAAAATAAAAAATAAAAGGGTCTAGGGATGTGGCTCAGTGGCAAAGCACCCATGGGTTCAATCCCCAGAATCAAAAAATAAATAAATAAAATAAAAAATAAATCCAGAATCAGTGTCCCATCCTTTAGTCTCTGCTATTCCATTTCTCCTTAAAGCCACTGAAATAGCCACCTTTTATTTAACAGACCTCAATGCTTTCACACTGCTTAAGGAATTTCAAGCAAACATTTTCTTGATGATATTTATAGCTGGTCACAATCTCTCCCTGCAGCTTTCTAGGCTCCTCTCTATAACTTCTACTGCCACCCGTGCCGGCCATCACCTCCTGCCTGCTACCAGCCATTTATAAATTCCACCACATCCTTCTTTTGCTTAGTGATGTTACCTTCCTTCCCCACTGCCAACGTTTCTCATTCGACATTTTTGCTACATTACATTCCAAACTTAGACCAGGGTCTAAAGCAGGTCTCCTCATGTTTCTAAAATTTACCCCTCTATCAAGTTGAGTCTGGCCTACACTTGAAGGGAACTCTCGTGGCTGACTCTAATGGCCTTTTAGAACTGATAAGATGTGAGTTCCAAGAAGAGACAATGTTCAATATCAGCCAGTGTGGGAATGGTCACAAGAACACCCAAACTGCTGTTGAAGGCATGCCTTTAAGGGTTTTTTTCCCCCCAAAATTTACCAGGTAATTCTCCCTTGGAGTGCAATGCACAGAATACCTGATAGCTATTAATAGTCTCTTGTGCTTTCAGTTAAATAATGACTGATACATAATACAGTGTTTGATTGAAATTCCTTAAGCAGTGTGATACAAAATACAGTGTCTCGGGCTGGGGATGTGGCTCAAGCAGTAGCGCGCTCGCCTGCCATGCGTGCGGCCTGGTTTCGATCCTCAGCACCACATACAAATAAAGATGTTGTGTCTGCCGAAAATTAAAAAAATAAATATTAAAAAAAAAAAAAAAATACAGTGTCTCTCTCTTGTGTGGGCTACCAAAGAGCTCAGGATGCCATTTCTTCCTGGCCTAGCTTTTAGGACATGTCAATTAGCTTTGTGACTTAAACTATTCAAGCCTGAGTCTCTTCATCTAAAAAATGAAGATAACAATAACTTTGTAAAATGCATTTGAGGAACCAAGTATGTTGTTGGGCAAATCTGTTGGATAAACGTGCACTGACTGGCTTCTATGTGTAAGATTCTGCATTTGGTGCTAAGGGAAGTAATGAACCAGGTCCCTGCCCACATGGAACTCATATTCTAAAGGGAAAGCCAGAGGACCCTTAAGTAGCAATCTGCAGCCAGGTGCAGAGATGCATGTCTGTAATCCCACCAGCTCAGGAGGCTGAGGGCCGGAGGATCGTGAGTTCAAAGCCCATCTCAGCAACTTAGTGAGGTCCTAAGCAACTCAGCAAGACCCTGTTTCTAATGAAAATATTAAAAAGAGCTGGGGATGTGGCTCAGTGGTTAAGCTCCCCTAGGTTCAATCCCTGATGCCAGGAAAAAAAAAAAAAGTAGCCATCTGCAAACGAAGTGGTGAGTGCCATGGAGCCAAGAAGGAAGTGACGTGGAGGGCCATGGTGCAAGACGTGGCCTGCCTTGGCTAGCCACATAAAGAAGACACAAACAGCATTCCAGGCAGAAGGAACAGGACCGTCAGTCCTGCAGGTAAGAAACCATTTGGCAAGCCCTAGGAGCCCAGGATTAATTAGAAATTGTAGTAGGAGTGTAGTTCAGTGGTTGGGCACATGATGAGCATGTCCAGGCCTTTGATTCAATAATATATATATATATATATATATATATATATATATATATATATATATAATATATATATAATCATTATTATAATTTTGGGAGCATGGTGCTCGGAATTGAATCCAGGGCCTGCTTATGCTAGGCAAGCACTCTACCACTCAGCTACACCCCCAGCCCAAGAAAGAATTTTAATAGCTACCTTTATTGAGAGTTTACCACATGCTCCATATGATTCAAACTTTTCATTTTTCCTGTGTCCTATATGGTAAATATTATTATTACTTCCTTTTGACACAAGAGGAAATGAGACACAGAGAGTTTAATAAAGCTGCCAAAGCTGTCTCAGGGATTATGATCAGGAACAGGACTTGAATTAGACCAGCAGACCCCAAAGCCAGTGCTCTTTGCCATGACACAATGCTGTCTCTTCAGGTTACAGAACATACTATAGTCAATCAGTTATCTGATGACACACAAGTGACACTTGTTCTTGCTAATAGGAAAACATATTGGCAATTCATAATCCATGATCTATTACTTCTAATCCATGATCTATTACTTCTAATCCTAATCTATGATTCATAGCCTCAAATTCTATTTATAGCCTCAAATTCTATTTATTATTAAGGAATGGGGCGTAAGGGAATACAGGAAAAATTTCCATCCCAAGAAAAAGAAACAGCTCTAATTAATTAACATCTTAATAATCACTCTCAATTTGCAGAATGTATCCATTATTAAATCTTTACCCATAATTTATGACATAGATGTTGATGTGGGACAAGTTATGCCCAGCTTGAAAATAGCTACTGACTTGCTCTCCTGAGGATACCAACAGTAGGGGCTAAGCAGACACAATCAAAATGGATCTTATTATTTAAATAATTCTGATCAGAAAAAGTGAGCAGGCCAACATATCCGAGTGCTGCAAAAACAAAACAAAACAAAACAAAAAACCAACCCTCACTTTCCAGGTGGAGTTTTTTAACCTATCATCTCTGATGTTCCCAAGGTCAAAGCCCTAGGGCTTCTGGGCAGTCTCCACCATCCCCTTCACTTACATTCCCATCGTGGTTTGGGCAAGACAGAGGCTTTCCCGCAGCCACAGCGGTGACCGTCTCCAGGATGGAAGACTCCTCTATGTTGCTGCCTGGCGTCCGCTGCAGCACGTCCATCAGGTTTGTGATGAAGAAGTTGTTCTGAAGCGCGGCCACCCCTTTCTCGGGCAGGATGGAGGTCTGGCGGCACACTGGGCAGGAGAGGGTTAAACTGTGGGCGGGAATGTAGTTCTGTAGGCACCTGATGCAGAGGAAGACAGGAGGACAGTCAGCAGGGAGCAGCCCAAAGGATGGATGCACCACTTCCTGCACGTTCCCTCCATGTTCTCAGCAATTATATAGACTGTGCAGAAATGCCTTCCAGAGTGTCCTTAACTAGGGAAATGATATTCCAGAATCCAAGAGCTAACTTGTTCTCACAGTGGTCCTGTCAAGCAAAGGGCTGTGCTCATGGAAAGAAAAGCGTCATTGACTTCTATAGCGTTTTCTAGAGTCTTGGCACACAGGTGTGGTTCAGGGTGAGCCGCCTAGCCTATGCCTCCTAGGGAACTGGGTAGAAATACAGAATCTTGGGCCCTGTCCAGACTACTGGATTCCAATGCGTGATTCACACATTCAAATTTGAGAAGCAATGGTCTACAATAGTTAGCACAGAGCTCCCAAACGTGTGGACGTGGACCCATGTTCAACATTTTTGTTAATGCTGAATTCATTATAGTGACCATAAGCAGATACTAAAACCACATGAGAGGGGAAATGTTTGGGTGAAGCAGAATGGGACACCCAGACTGAGTCAGACCATCTCTTCTCCTTCCTCCCCTTTAACAGGCATCAACTAAATTCATTTAATTAAAGAAATAAATCACTAATAATGACCACCATATTTATTCAAAGTACTTCCAAAGAAAATTCTATTATGATCACCTTAGATAAATGAGGACACACAGGCAGAGAAAGACTAAGGTGATCTGCCCAAGGTTAAGTGCAGAACAGGATTCAGAACCCAGACAATTTGCCACCGTAATCCGAGCTCTAAACAACCAGACTTGGGGCTGGGGGTGTAGCTCAGTGGTAGCACTTGCCTAGCATGTGCAAAGCCTTGGATTCAATCCCCAGTGCTGCAAAAATAAAGCACAAACAACAACAAAGACTAATCAATGTTTTCCTGCTGTTTAGCCAAATGGAATTCAAAAACCACTGAATTGGTCCCAGTCTTCTGGTTTTTCAGAAGGAAAAACTGACATTGAGGAAGGTTGAATGATCTTCTCTGTATCACAGAGATAGCTAGTGCTGAATCAATACCAGAAATGAAACAGCTTTCCCTAAGGTCACAAATGATACCTAAATCCCACAGACGTCTTTCAATCCTATCTTTGGAGACTTCTCAGCAGCATTCACCAAGCCTCACCTGTCCCTCTCCCCTTCTTTTTTGCTATTTATCTTCCTTTGTCTTTCTTACACCATCTGATCCTCCCTCTATCTTCTCTCTCTTTTCTGAGTTAATAAAGTTTGGAGTTACCTGAGGTCCCATCCTCAGAGATGTCTCCTCTGAGTCCCATACCTGTGTGTCAACTGCCTTCTTGACATCTCCTCTTAGATATCTCACAGGTCCTAAAACTCAACAAGTCCCAAACCAAACCATCTCTTCTTCCTATCTCGATAATTGGCACTTCTATCCATTCATCAAAGCAAACCAGAAATCAGGAGTCATTCATAAAACAGTAATTCCCCCCGCTGACCTTCATTCCTGTATCCAACCCATCACAAAAGGCTGTCAGTTCCCAGGTATCTTTCTGACCCCTCCAGTTCTCTTCATCTCTGCTACACCAACCTTTCTTGGACTTCTGCAATGGACTTTCACCTCCATCCTGTCATCTCCCCTTATACTCCCTGACCCTTCTCCATATCACACTCAGAGTAACCTCATCAGAATCTCAAAACTTACCATTTATATCTCCCTGTCCTCCCATCATGGATTCCACTGCCCTGTTATGAAAATAAGAATCCATACTTTGTAGCATGGATGACTTACGTATTTTGTCTCTCCCTCTCATGGGTCTGTGAAAATTCTTGTGACGTGTCTGTGCCTTTCACTATAGCACCTCTGCCCACACCTGAAATCCTTTCCTTTACTCATTCCTCTTTGCTTAATATGTACTCATTCTTGGGGTTTCTGCTTAACAATTCTGCAGGGATGCCTTCCCTGAAAGAGCAATTGCCTCTACACCATGGTTTTCTGTGTAATTATGGTATGTAGCCTTTGTTCCTGTTTTAATGTCACATTAATTGGAGACTAGGGAATTAGGAACTGGCTTCTTCACAGGCCAAGGATGATGTCTGGTGTTGCTCATTCCAAGCCCCGTTGATGGTGCCTTGGAAGATGTGGGGTAAGAGAGCAACTGTGAAGGTGTCACCAAGCAGCGGGTATATGTGTCCAGCATAAGGAGTCCTACGGTTCAGTCTCCCAACAGTGAGCCAAACTGTGAAGTTCCATCTCTACAGAAATAAAATCTTCTCAAGGGAAGGAATTCCCTCCAAAAGGAAATCATTTCAGTGTTCACGATGCTGGAATAATTCTAACGCATGGCATTCCACAGGGACTCGCCATAGCAGGAGCTCACAAATCTCCACCACTTGGTGTCAGGCAGAGAGCAGGGGTGGGTTGGGCCAGACCCAGGCCAGCTCAGATGCCTTGTTCTCACCTGTGAGTGTAAGGAAAGAGGACCCCAAAAACAGATGGGATACCAAACACAGGAATGGAGTCACCCTGAATGACTCTCAATGTGGTGTACAATGAAAGCCACCCTATGCCAACTGCTGCAATCAAGTAATGAAGGTGCCATGTGGACACAGGGACACATGGACAGTTTTCTGGGATTCATGTTTTAGCTACACCCATTAAGTGGTGGGGAAAAAAATCATACTCTATTTAATTACTTTGGAATATAAGTTATGAAGCCTTTAAGCCAAAGTGTAAAATGAGTAAAATAAAAGGCGTTGCTACACTATATATTCCACCACTCAAGCAAACAAAAGTCTATATATACACGTAAACACACACACTCTCACACACACAACCTCAAACAAACAAAAACCCACAACTACAAGTAATAAATCTACCATCTCTCTCTACCAATCACCATCACCAAGGATATGGTTATTCTTTTGCATTTGAGACCTTCCAAAGTAAATCAACAATCAGATAAAAAATGTGTGTTAAGTCGATGATAAATATAGTCATCATACATTTGAAGCCATTGGAAGTATTGATTTCCGTTCCATCATGGGGGTGAAGCATTTTAATTACGTATATTAAATAATAATAAAAATGTATGTAACAAAATGCTAAAAAACATAATTACCATTTTGCTTTTAAGAAAAATATGTAAACTTTACTATGAAAATACTTAAATTGGGCCACAGATAAATTAATTACTTATAAACTTTTTATGTCTAAGTTCTTACAAGGTAAGTTAAACAATAGGGTAAAAGCATATTTTGGTAACTAATACCACACTTCAAAAAAAATCCTCTCAATAGAGACAAATAAGAAAGTGTGTTTTCTTAAGGTAATTTATAATAATTATATATATGCATTTTATGTAGTTTTTTCATTTATCTAAGACATCTCAATGTCCCAAAGTGACATTAATATGTGTTTGAAGTATCTCTGAGGAAAGAATGCTGTTCTGTGAACTAACCCCTTATATGATATGTAGGTTTCT